GAGGTATTGTGTTTGTTGTCAAGAACATTTTGTTGAATGGCTGTTTGTTGAAATGCCCCGAACATCAATTGTTTTGGAAGGCTTTCGTCACGCTGGCACTGCGGCGCGCGAGTGTGGCCCGCATGATGTCATTTGATTCGGAACTGGGCGCATTCCGGATCAACGCCGATGCACCGCGTGGTATTGCTAAACCATGTGTTTCCCCCGTGGTTTCAGCACATGCGCGCAGGCAGAACATTTGCAAATTTTTGAATGGAAAGCTAAAGTTATTAGAATGTCCTTGCAAAGATGGTGTATTTGGTATGGTTTCGGCATGTGCGCGCGCGAGTGGACTTTGCTCCCATTTTCTGGAGGGTTCTTGCGACATGTTCTGTTGCGATGGCCGAATGCGTGCGCATAGCATTTTTTGGCAGGTATGAACTGGCCTGCCTGGGTTCGTATAGATTCATGTGGACAATGAGCGGCGGGGCAGCATTATTTGTAATTTGCAGTGCTCCAGGGGGACCGATAAGTCCGGGAGGGGGACGGTGGTAGAGTCCATTATTATTCTTTCGAACGGAGAATTTATTGGTGCCGACTCATGCGTGGCAGCTCCCTTGCTCGCACAACCACCCCACCCCCAACACCCGCCTCGTGTTTTGCAAAGCTCATGCGGCTACTGTTGCGGATATGCTTGGCGCTGGTTGGCGCATCTCTGCGGCCACGTTGGCGCGCTAGGGGGTCCAGCTGGTCTGTCACAACTAATGTGGTCGCGATGGCCCTTTCTGATGAGAGCTTCCCAGCGCGTCTCAGAGGCCGCGCGTTCGCGCGGGCACTTTAGTGCGGGGCGGTGATTTGGGCGGGCGCGATATCACAGTGACGCCAATCACGGGAACAACGATGATAATGATGGTAGCCATGGTTGTGGCCATGATGACGACGATGACGGCGAGGCCAATGACGGTGCCGATGCTGGTGGCGACGATGGCGATGATGATGTCCATGTGTCGGTGATGCAGGTGATTGATTGATGATGGCGGCAATGGCGGCAAGGGCGGCAATGGACGATAAGGATAACGGCTGTGATGCGGTGGGGGCGTAGAGGTTTAATACAGTTGGCGGCAGATCTTCACTTCGACAACATGTGTTCCCTACCTAGGCTCTGCCTAGAAGGGTTCTTACTCTCTTTGCTTAAAGGGGCCGGGCAGTGCTACACGCCCCGGGCGGTTCCCCCAGTCCCCGCCCCGCGGTTCCCCCAGTCCCCTGGGAGCTTTAGCCTTAGCTTTAGCTTTAGCTTAGCTTTAGCTTTAGCTTTAGCTTAGCTTTAGCTTAGCTTCAGCTTAGCTTTAGCTTAGCTTTAGCTTAGCTTCAGCTTAGCTTTAGCTGAGCTTTAGCTTAGCTTCAGCTTAGTGTTAGCTAAGCGTTAGCTGAGCTTTAGCTTAGTGTTAGCTTAGCTTTAGCTTAGCTTTAGCTTAGTGTTACTTTAGCTTTAGCTTAGCTTTAGCTTAGCTTTAGCTTAGCTTTAGCTTAGCTTTAGCTTAGCTTTAGCTTAGCTTTAGCTTAGATTTAACTTAGCTTTAGCTTAGCTTTGGCTTAGCTTCAGCTTAGCTTTAGCTTAGCTTCAGCTTAGCTTTAGCTTAGCCTTAGCCCAGCTTTAGCTTAGCTTTAGCTTAGCTTCAGCTTAGCTTTAGCTTAGCTTTAGCTTAGATTTAGCTTAGCTTTAGCTTAGCTTTAGCTTAGCTTTAGCTTTAGCTTAGCTTTAGCTTAGCTTTAGCTTAGCTTCATCTTAGATGTGGCTTAGCTGTAGCTTAGCTTTAGCTTTAGCTTAGCTTTAGCTTACCTTCAGCTCAGTGTTAGCTTAGCTTTAGCTTAGCTTTAGCTTAGCTTTAGTTTAGCTTTAGCTTAGCTTCAGTTTAGTGTTAGCTTAGTTTTAGCTTAGCTTTAGCTTAGCTTTAGCTTAGCATTAGCTTAGAGTTAGCTTAGCTTCAGCTTAGCTTTAGCTTAGCTTTAGCTTAGCTTAGCTTTAGCTTAGCTTAGCTTTAGCTTAGCTTTAGCTTAGCCTTAGCTTAGCTTTAGCTCAGCTTTAGCTTAGCTTTAGCTCAGCTTTATCTTAGCTTTAGCTTAGCCTTAGCTTAGCTTTAGCTTAGCTTTCGCTTAGCTTTAGCTTAGCTTCAGCTTAGCTTAGCTAGCTTAGCTTTAGCTTAGCTTTAGCTTAGCTTTAGCTTAGCTAGCTTAGCTTTAGCTTAGCTTATAGCTTAGCTTTAGCTTTAGCTTAGCTTTAGCTTAGCTTTAGCTTAGCTTTAGCTTAGCTTTAGCTTAGCTTTAGCTTAGCTTTAGCTTAGCTTTAGCTTAGCTTTAGCTTAGCTTCAGCTTAGCTTTAGCTCAGCTTCGGCTAAGTGTTAGCTTAGTACCAGCTTAGTTTTAGCTTAGCTTTAGCTTAGCTTCAGCTTAGCTTTAGCTTAGCTTTAGCTTAGCTTTAGCTTAGCTTTAGCTTAGCTTTACTGTTACTACTAATGCTGCTTTCCTAGGGGCTCCAACTCCTAGGTAGGGTCGCACTGGGATAATTTGTTTCGTATGGTTTTGGAGAGTTCTGCGTTGAAATGCTTTGAACGCCGGTGGTTTTGAACAGATTTCGACACGCGCGCATGGTGGCGCGCGCGTGTGGCCGGCCTGGTGTTGTTATTTGATGCGGATTCGTGCGCCGGGCGCATGCTATTTCGATCGGTCAACGCATATGCAACGCGTGTTGGAGAGAGAATGCGGGTTCTGGGCGAGCGTGCTGAGATCAAATGGTTTCGAATTATTTCAGCAAGTGCGCGCGGGTCGGCAATTTGCAAGGCTTGTTATGCATCACCCCAGGGGTTTCTTTTATCTTGAAGCGGTTGCCATACCAGTGTGTTGGTAGGGTTTCCAGATGCGCGCGCGTGCGGGTTTCGTGCCATGTGTGTGTGTGTTGCTTCCTGCGGCAAACTCCGCCGCCGAGCCTATGCAACAGCGCTGCAAAAAGGAGACTAAGTGTAGGAACAATAACAGCGCAATTTTGACAAGTGGTATGATAAGGAGGGGTCGTGAATTCGACCTCGTCTTCGTCTGCGCGGTAGAAAGGATGTCGAGTTCACACCCCGCGGCAGTTCAGCGAATGGTCTGAACCGACGAGGGTCGTGATCCCGACATCGTCTTCGTCCGCGCGGTACGGAGGAGGAGGAGAAGGAGGAAAAGAGGAGGAGGAGGAGGAGGAGGAGGAGGAGGAGGGGGCAATGAGGGTCCGTAGCCATTTTGGCTCAAGGCTAAACGAGTGAAGGCTAAGGACTTAGCCAGATCTTGATTAGCTTTGGGATATATCCCGAGCTGGTCCAAGCTTGCCGCTGCCGAGCTGGCAGCACGGGGGCCTCGGCGCGCTCCCCGATTTCTCTCTTTCTGCCTTTCCTGATTGGCCTGTGGGCGCTGGTGGGCTCTTGCGTTCGTGCAAGTGCCAGCGAGCCCAGTCAGAAGCCATGGCGGCCAACAACGGGGACAGCCCGTCCCGCGCCGTGGGAGCCAAGCGCCACGCATCATCGGCAGTCGAGCATCCTGTCCCTGAGGCTGGAGAGTCGCAGGCCTCGGGCGGTGAGAACTTGGCAGCCTACATCGACTCACTCAAGGACGGGCTGGCCTCCGACGTGGCGAAGTGCCAAGCGGCTGTCAGCACACTACAGCAGCAGGTGGCCAGTATGCAGCAAAAGGTCGTGGCCACTGTCCAAGGCCTCGCCAAGCAAGTCGAAGATCGTGTTGCACCCGTCTTGGCCACACAACATCAGCAGCAACAAGCCATTCTTCGTCTTGAAAATGAAGCCAAACGTATCCGTGAGGAGCTGGGAGTGGTCCGCTCTGGAGCGCCTGCCACACCCCCGCCGATCACCTCCGCCAACTGGGAGAGGGAGATACCCCTGCGTCGTCGTCGTCAGGAGCAAGGACCAGATCTCCAAGGAGAACGCCCTCCACGCGCTGCGGCCCTGGCTTATGGAGCAGAGCCTGGCCGACACCGAGTATGCCATCGAGGGGGATCCGACCGGCCGTCGCTTCCTGGTTCGTTTCAGCGGCACGGTTGGATGGTCGAGCAGGAAAGTCCTTCAAGCGCTTGGCACTCTTCGTCCTCAGGTGCCTGGCGGTCAGTGGCGACAATTTCTGGGAACATCAGTCACTGGAGGTCGCACGGGATTATATGTTGGCCCTGACAAGAACGCGAAGCAGATCAAGACGGAGCTGTACACGAAACTCATCAAACAAGTGTTCAATACACTGTATGCCGACAAGAAGGTGTTCACCGACCGCCAGAAGGGGATGGTCTCCATCAACTGGAAGCCGCTTGTGCAGGTGGAGCCGCAGGAAGGCAACCAGAACCCCATTTTCAAGTGGGCCAACGCGAACCTCGCCGCCGAAGGCTTCGAGCGTGGCCTCTTGGAGCCTGCGATCCAGCAGGTGCTCATCAAGGAAGCGGAGCCGACCGAGTGGAATCTTTAACACCATCCAGGTGCTCTGGAGTGGCTGCTGCGACGAGCGGCGAGTACCCCTTCGAGTATCGACATGGAACGCCAGTTCCCTGCATCACCACAAGAGTGAGGCTGAAGCGGCACCGCTATCTGTCTCGGCTCTTGCTGCCTGGTGCGCTTGTCTCTGTTCAGGAGACGCGCGGCACGGAGGCTGAAGTGAGCGACATGCTCCATCATGCACGCAAGGATTTCTCCTTTACCTCCTCCTTCCTCCCTGACTCCCCGAATGCAGGTGGTGTTGTGACCCTCTTCCCGAATTTTCAGAATTCAGAACACAGGTTTAACGTTTGCGGTGTGAATCGTCCTATAGTCTCCTCCCTCCCCATTGTTCCTGGAAGAGTGCCGAATGCGAGATTTGCGAATGGTGATAACTCTGTTTGGATCTCCCATTACAACATTCATAACGAGAACCTGTCTGCCGAAGAGAAGCGTAGAGTCTTGGATGCGATCGGAGCCGACCTCCTCCTCTCGAATGCGAACCCTCTCTCTTGCATGACCGTGCTGGCGGGTGATTTCAACTTCGGCAGCGTCGCGATGCACGGACTCACGCCAGAGAGTGACGTCCATGGTGCTGCTGGCCACAACGCTGCTCCTGTTGCTCCTGCTGGGTGGCGCGAGCTGCTAGGACAATTCACGGAGTGCCAAATCGAAGACCCCACCCACTACCACCACGGCCTCAAGAGTCTTTCATATATCGATCGTGTGTTTCTTTCGTGTCCTGGATGGGTCCCGGCGCAGTACTCCACGGGAGGCGAGGTCCTGGACCGACCTGAAACCCTTCAAGCTAAGCACATCTCGGACCACAGCGCTGTTGCAGTCACCCTGAGAATTCGAGGCGCGCAGCCGGCAGGACAAAGGCCGATTCCGAAGGGGATTTGTGACTCGGCAGAGCACAGGAGTTCATCCGAATGGCTGTCGAGGCCGCCCCCCTGCACACCCTCGAGCCCTGGGTGGAGCACCAGTACTTCAAATCCTTGATGGTTGAAGCGTCCAGATATGCTAGAGACTGCATCATTATTAGGCGTCCTGGGTCAGCCGTGGCGAGATATATGGTGCTTCGCAGTGTGGCTCGTGCGGTTTTCCGTCGAGACGTTCGGCTGGCTGAGCGTCTGCAGGCTGCTCATTTCCTGGCCAGGGACCACATTGACATCGATTGCAACAGCTCGTCGGTCTCGCTCGTCGCTCCCGAGATGTTCCATGAGCTGTCGAATGCCGTCCACTCCGAGGTCTCGAGAAAGAAACAGATCCAGCTCCAGGAAGCCGCCCAGGAAACTAATAACCCCAACGTGCAACACAAACTTCGGGAACGTGCTCGTCGGCTTCAGAAGGTTTTCCAGCTTTGGCCCCCCTTCGACCGTCGTCTCGCCCTGGCTGGTGTTCGGACCCCTGGCGGCCACATCCTATCGGAGCCATCGCAGATGCTGCGTGAGCTCGGGAGACACTGGGAGAGTGTCTTCACAGGCCGTGAATTTGATGCTGCAGGTGCTGCGGAGTGTCTGGCAGCGCATCCTGTACATATTGACGCGCTCGACCTCCCGATGCCGACGTACGACTCTCTTCTCTCGCACCTCCGCCGACTTCAGCACTCTGCCCCTGGCCCAGATATGTTGCCATGCGTTGCGTGGGCTCATGCACCGCACGGAGCGGACGTCTTGTACGATAGTATGTTGTATTCGCTCGAAGGCCGATCGGTCTCGTGGGATTTCAACCAGCTCCTTGGCGCATTCATCCCGAAGGGAGAGGAGGCTCAGGACTCGGTCAAAATCACGAGGGAGGCGGGAAACACCAGACCCCTGGGGCCCAAAAACAGCGACAACAAAATCATCACGAGTGTGTGCTGCCGAGCTTTAAGTATCACTGTGCCGAAGTTCCTGGATTCGTCTCAGAGAGGGTTCGTGATGGGCCGAAATTTTGGAGAGAACATCGTTGAGCTGGACGCGTTTGCCCGAGAAGTAGGACTCGTTCGGCCTGGAGGCTCCTCGACTGGTGTATTTTTTCGATTTTGGGCAGGCCTTCCCGTCGACGGCGCAGCAGTGGGTCAGAATGGTCATCATGTCGCTGAAGACCCCCCCGCCCTTCAAAGCGTTTCTGATCCTGTTGTGCGAGAATGTGTTGTGTCTGGGGCGTATTGGGGATGCCAGAGAGCCGTTGTTCTGGGTGACGAGAGGCATTATCCAGGGGTGTCCTGCTTCGGGTTTGCTTTTCTCCATCATCCTCGACCCGTTCCTGAGGAAATTCCGGCTGGCCCTAGATGGGCCTGATGAGGGGCGCGCCCGAGCCTGCGCCGACGACATAGGAATGATCCTGAGGAGAGTCCAGTTGCTAGGCCCCGCCTTCAGCATTTTCAAGGAGGCGCAGAGATTCGCGCACTTCTGTTTGAAGGTTCCGAAGTGCTGCATCGTCCCCGTGGGCGGCCAGCTCACTCCAGCGCTAGTTGAGCGCTTCCGCACGTGGCTAGCACGGAACATCCCTGAGTGGGCCGACTTTGAGATTGCGGATAAAGTCAAATATCTTGGGATATGGCTGGGTCCAGGAGTTGAGTACGAGTCTTGGGGATCTCCGTTCCGAAAATATTTTAGTAGATGCTCCATGCTGGCGAAACCTGGAGCGGCTGGTCAAGTCAATATAAGTCTGTATAACAAAAGAGCGGTCTCGGTGCTGTCTTATGTGGGACAAGTTATGCTTCTTCCTCGGCATCTTCGGCGTCAGGAATTTGCTCAACTTGCGCGGGTGTTTAAGGTGCCTTATTGTGCGGTTCCTCATGGGGACTGGTTCGATCTCCACAGATACGGCGGCCCGAAAGTGGTCAGTGTCTTGGCATCGAACGCCGCCCAGCTGATCAGAATGAGTAAGTTCACGATCCACGAGTGGCGAGGTTGCTTGCAGAGGCTGGAGGCGGCCGCGGCTGAACACCTTCCTCTCGTTGCTCAGATCGAGGGCAGGTGCTCTCCAGAGTGGTGCACGCTCGACCAGGCCTCCCAGGGCTTCCCGAATGATGAGCTTCCGGGGCCAGCATGTACAGCAGCGTGCGCCAGGCTCGACGAACATGTGGCTGATCACCCTGACCTCCCCCTCCACCGGGGCTTCATCCTCAGAGAGTGCTGTATCAAGAGATTCTGTCGCAGCTGTACTCAAATGACATTGCAGAACGATTCGACGTCGACTCCTCCAGTGGCTCCTTGCTCTCCGACCCCAGATCGATGACATTGATTTCGGTCGTCTGCGTGCCGTGATGGCCCCCCTCCCTCCCTCCTGGTGCTAAGCGATTTTTAAAACGCTCACGGGAAGCTGGGTCACTCCAAATAGATTTCAGCGTGTGCAGTGCTGTTTCCTGGGCTGCCCTGGGGCCCAAAACACGTTTTGGCACTTCTGGACCTGTGCTCGTTTCTGGCGCCTGGTCCGTCTGTCTTTAGCTGATGATATCTCTGACTGTCCATAGATCGTTTTGGAATTCTGAATCCGTCGGTCGAGTCCCTCGAGCCTGTAGTGCATGCGTACAATATGTATAACGCGCTCAGGGTTCTCCCGTCCCCCGCGCACCCCGTCCTCAGGTCCTCAGCCACCGCGAAGCGGCAGGCCAGGTTCGTGCGGTCCGCTGCCAGTCGAGGCGCCCCCGCGCAGGCGGTGGCTAAGGTGCTCATGGAGGACTGTCCGCCCCCTGCTACGCTCGAGGAGGGGGCAATGAGGAGCTTTGTCAGGCCAACTCGGGTCTCCAACGCTCTCGTTCTACGTCTCCCCCGCAAGAAGGGGCAGGCCGGTGGCCAGACCCCTCCAACCCGATGGCAAGACACCTGACTTGCAGGCAAGCATCCCTGCCCGGACTTCCCACGGACCCACGGGCGCGCGCGCGCGAGTCCGTCAGGCTCAGGAGCAGGGCTGGGCCTGCACGTTTGAACTTGCTGGGCCTCGGCCGTGTTCTGTGTTTCGCTTTGGCAGGGAGGCTCAGGAAAACAGGTAGAGCAACACGAAAACCATAAGATGGAGGAGGAGGAGGAGGAGGAGGAGGAGGAGGGAAGAGGAGGAGAGGAGAAGGAGGAGGAGGAGGAGGAGGAGGAGGAGGAGGAGGAGGAGGAGGAGGAGGAGGGAGGAGAAGAAGGAGGAGGAGGAGGAATGGAGCAGCGCGAAAAACATGAGGAACCCACAACGAACAGCAACGCGTGGGTCCAGCCCTGCTCAAGAGGACCCGGGGTGGCGGCGGAGGAGGAGGAAGAAGGGGCTCGGGCGCTCGCGCAGGAGGCGCGCCCCTTCCTCTCTCCTCCATTCCTCCTCCTCCTCCTTCTCCTCCTCCTCCTCCTCTCCTCCTCCTCCTCCTCCTCCTCCTCTCCTTCTCCTCCTCCTCCTCTTCCTCCTCCTCCTCCTCCCTCCTCCTCCTCCTCCTCCTCCACCTCTTCTTCTTCCTCCTCCGCCCTCCTCCACCCTCCGCCTCCTCCCCCTTCTCCTCCTCCTCTCCTCCCTCCTCCCCTCCTCCCTCCTCCCTCCTCCTCCTCCTCCTCCTCCTCCTCCTCCTCCTCCTCCTCCTCCCTCCCCCCCTCCCTCCCTCCCTCCCTCCCGCCCTCCCTCTCCTCCGTCCTCTCTCCTCGCCCCGCTCGCGGCGCAAAGTCCTGTCAGGCGCCGTCATCCTCGTCGTCGCCCTGCTGGCCCTGCTGGTCGTCTGGTTCCTGATGTCCCGCTCGAGGCCTGCCCGCGGTGCGGCCCTCCGTTTTGGTCCCCCCCCTCGTCGTGCCCGCGTGCGCCGGCAGCGGGGGCTCTCGGCGCACGCGGGGGTCAGCCAGAGCGCCGGATCTTGCCGGATCCTGCAGGGCTGGATTCGGGTCGGGCCGGGGCTGGGAGCCACTCGCTGGCCGAGCAGGATGCGAGGGCCGGTCCAGCAAAGGGCAGCGCGGGTTGTTTTGGTTGAGCCGGGGTGGCGCTGAGCGGGGTTCGTCCACGCCCGACCTCCCTCCTCTCGTGCTCTCCCCCCGCCCCCTCCCTCCCTTCCACTCGATCTCAGAGGAGGCAATGATCCCGATGCCGCTGCTCGTCCTGGAGAGCCCTCGTCGCCACGTCCGTCTTCGCCTCGAGATGCTGGTCAGAACGCACCTCAGGAGAGAGGGGGGGGCTGCCCACAGGCCCCCTCAGCAGCCGATCCACGATCTCCACCAGCTCCTTCCCCACTCACCCAGGCGAAGGATGGGGGCGACGATGAGGAGTGGAATGGAATAGACGCCATCACAAGGTGATACCTGGGACTCCCGTGCAGCCCTAGCCGCCTGTTGGGCGTGGTTCATCGCCTTGGGCCAGGCTCCTCGACCGATGCGCCTGAGGTATTCCCGACTTGTCACTGAGGGCTGAGACAAGCAAGGCGCTTCCAGATATGTTGATAAAAACTCACAGCAAAAGAAACCACATTACTACTACAGAACCAACCGTCGAGGCTCTCGTGGCAGGCCATCATGTGGCTCCCCCCAAACCCATCCCCCGCAAGGATGCAAGGGCTGCCCAGGGGGACGATGCAAGCCGTGTGGAACGCCGTGCAGGAGCTCGCCCTAGGGGGACAGACGCCACTCGGTGACTGTCGTCTGAGGCGGGCAATGCTTGCCAGACTCCGCCAGCATGTGAGCCGAACGGACGACAGAACGAGACGACGGTCCGGGAGGCGGCACGGCCGTGACGCCCTCTGCAGGGCCCGGGGGCCGAGCAGAGGGTCCAGCACGGGGAGGGGGCACGGGCACACCGGCCAGCGCGGGAGGCCGAGCGCGGAGGAACAGGCAGCGGAGCGCGCCGAAGGCGAGCTCCGTGGCAGGGACGGGGGGGGGGACTGGGCAGGCGGCTTCCCCCCTCCACGGGGGGCGGGGCCCAGCAGCAGGACCAAACGCGCCCGAGCACCCAGAGCTTTTGACGCACCCTGGCAGGTTGAGCTCAGCATCGGCGCTGGCAGATCCGTGGCCGAAAGAAAAGCGGCGCCATCTGGCATGATCCCGTTAAATTTCGCCCAGTGCCGCCCAATCCGGCTCACTCCGGCGAAATCCCGAGCTTCAGCCCGTACAGTCAAGACTCATAGTAAGGACGCACGGATGTCCTTAGGGTACCTTTGCGTCCTTGCCTCTGCGGCCCTTCCGTCGCGGTTTTCACTGGCCAGCCCTTCAAGGTGTTGGCAGCCCGCCGCCCAGAAAGTGCTAATTTCAGCGTCCTAGGCCCTTGCGTCCTTACCGCCCGTCCTTACTACAGATTTTTTTGTAGCTTGTTTGAGCGAAGGTCTCCCAGAAGTTGCTGCTTCCTTCACTTGGTCCTCCTCCGCCTCCCCGAGGCGCCCTCTGGTGCTCTCTCCGGGAGGCGGCCAAGAGCGGGGTGATGACTGGGGGAGATGGATTTCATGGCCCAGACCATGATGCCTCTCCAGATTCGACTACACGTAAGAGTGACCCTTCGCCAGGGTGACTTCAAGTGTGGGCCCTTTGGAGTCCCCCGATCGCCGAACGCGAGGCGGCAGTGGCCTCTTGCGCGCTTTTGTTTTGCCCCCCGCGGCCCCCCAGAAGCTGCGCACCAAAGGCCACTCTTGCCCAGGGTCATTCGTGCGTGTAACCTGTAGCCGACAACTCTCATGGCGCCTCTTCTTACTTCAGTGCGTTCCCTGGCCCTTCCCCCTGGGCCGCGCACATGCCTCGGGCCCCGATTTGCGCCCCTCCCTCTTGGGACGCCCCCCTTTTGGACGCCCCCGATCTCTCTGGCTCTCTCCATCTCTCTCTCGCTCTCTCTCTCTCTCTCTCTATCTGCACTCCTTCCCGCGTCCGTCCCGTCTGCGCGCGGGGGCTGCAGGGACCCCGCGGACCTGTCCGACGGCGCGATGCGCCCGCCCTACAAGCCGAAGGGCGACATGCGCAGCTACCAGCGCCCCATGGCGGACGAGGATCTTCGACGTCCGTTCCCAGGAGTCTTGGGCGGCGACCTGGAGATCAGCTCTCCCTGCATTTGTTCTGGGCTTATGTTTCACCACCACCACCACCATAAGTTGGAGGGGGAGGGGGTGCTCCTCCTCCTCGTCCTCCTCCTCCTCCTCCTCTGCCTCCTCCTCCTCGTCCTCCTCCTCGTCCTTCCCCCCTCCAACTTATGGTGGTGGTGGTGGAAAACAGGCCCATCAAATTGGGCCGCATTTGGACCACGCGGGCTCCCATGGGAACGGACGCCAGACGGATGTGGAGGAGGACCCGGGCAGCCGTCGACGCAAGCTGTGCAGCCCGCGGTTTGGCTGCGGTGCTCGGCCCCTGGTGGCCGCTTCTCGGCTCCGGGGCTCTCGAGCATGGGTCGTGGAAGAAACTCGGCCCCCTCGGAATGGGTCGGGACCTCCTTGGGGCCGCGGATTGAAAAACAAATACAGTGGCGGATGACAGGGGTGGAGGAGGAGGCATTGGAGGATGAGGAGGAGGAGGAGGAGGAGGAGAAGGAAGAGGAGGAGGAAGAGGAGGAGTTGGACGAGGAGAGGGTGGTGATCGTGCTCGCTCATCGAGTGGATTTCTGGTCTTGCTACTGCTGCTGCAGGTATGGGGAGGTGGCGGTGGTGGCGGATGAGGGAGGAGGGTGCGGATGAGCCGGAGGAGGAGGACCAGAGGAAATCCAAGATGCATCAGCGAAACTGAACTACCGCCTCCCGTCCTCGTCCTCCTCCTTCCTCCTCCTCCTCCTCCCTCGTCCTTCTCCTCTTCCTCCTCCTCCTCCGTGTCCTCCTCTTCACTAGTCCCGACAGGCCTTCATTTTATTTGTGCGACAGTCGTGCCCCCCTCTGCAGGCACACCCCGTGGGCCTGCCTGCCGCTCTCGGGTGGGGGCCCCGGTTTTGTGGAAAGGACCTGCCTTGCACCTCTTTCTAGCGCGCAGACAAGTCTGTGACGTATAGTTTTAAGTCGGGCATGTCTCTCTGCAGGGGGAGTATTCACAACTAGTCAAAACATAGTCAGGGGACGATATTTTGACTATGTTCGAGCATGTTTGAATATTTGTTTATATCATTTCGCCAACAATCCGCCTGTAGGGGGACATGCCCGACCTAAGTATAGTTTTAAGTCGGGCATGTCCCTCTACAGGAGGGATAGTCAAAAATAGTGATAACAACAAACAGTAGGACGGCGATTTTGGTATTTGTTTGGCCATCTTACTGTTTCGTCCTAACCCGCCTGTAGGGGGACACGCCCGACCGAAGTATAGTTCTACGATGTGTCCAGCGTCGAGACCTCCGTGCTCGTCTGAGGACGCCTCGAGCGACAGCCCCATTCTGAGTTGGTACCCTCATCCTTCCTTGCAGCCGTCGCGGAAGTTTGCGACGAGAGTGCCCGGCGCTCGGGCGGGAGCCCGAATTGGGACAGGAACCGCCATCCATCCTTGTCGCTGTCACGGACGTCTGCACAGATGCGCGCGGCGCTGAGGCGCGACATGAGATCCGTCTTGACAGCGGCCCGTGCTTCATCGTCGACGATGTCTTGCGCGCTGTTCGAACGAAGGTGCGCGGCGCTAATGTCAGACTGCCATTTTGAACTTGACTGTTGCCCCATCTTGGCAACTGTTGCGAATTTAATCCTCAGGATCATGGAACGGCAGGAGGTCTCAGGCGAAACTCCATGCCCGCCCTGACACGCCTGGGGGTGCGGCAGGGAGGAGTTGCCAATCAGGACAAGGGGTGGCGAAGGATAACAGATGAGGGGTGGGAGTATGGTGGGAGTGAGGGGAGGGAGACTGGTGGGAGAGAGGGAGCAAGGCGCGGAAAGAGAGAGAGAGAGAGAGGGAGAACGAGAGCGAGAGAGAGAGAGAGGGCGGATGAAATGGGTGAGGAATGTAGGCGGCGGAGGGGTGAAGGAGGAGCGATGGAGGAGTATGGGGCGGGGAGAGGAGGAATCGACCCAGTGGATGTTCGAATCAGGGAACATGGAGTGAGGAGGATGGACGGCAGGAGGGGGCAGGCGGGAGGGAGGAGGGACGGACGGAGAGAGTAGCGGGGAGGAAGGGAGAGTGAGGAGGACAGCGGGGGAGGAGGCGAGAGAAGCAGAGAGAGAGAGGGAGAGAGGGAGAGAAAAGGAAACGCGAGGGAGGGAGAGGGAGGCAGGGAGGGAGGCAGGGAGGAGGCAGGGAGGAGCCAGGAGAGGAGGAGGCAGGGAGGAGGAGGAGGAGGAGGAGGAGGAGGAGGAGGAGGAGGACGCTGCCACGGCGGGTGGCAGGTACAAGACCCTCGCAAGTGGCATCCAGGCCCGACCGCCCGAGCGGGTCTCGCTCCCCCTTCCGGGCCCGCGGGCGTGGAGGGCCGCAGGGCCGAGGGGGGGAGGGCTCGGAGGAGGACGATCGCCGTGAGGCCACGGGGGGGGGGGAACCTCCTCCTCCTCCTCCTCCTCCGCCTCCTCCTCCCCCTCCTTCCTCCTCCTCCTCCTCCTCCTCCTCCTCCTCCTCCTCCCTCCTCCTCCTCCTCCTCCTCCTCCTCCTCCTCCTCCTCCTCCTCCTCCTCCTCCTCCTCCCTCCTCCTCCTCCTCCCCTCCTCCTCCCCCTCCTCCTCCTCCTCCTCCTCCTCCTCCTCCTCCTCCTCCTCCCTCCTCCTCCTCCTCCTCCTCCTCCTCCTCCTCCTCCTCCTCCTCCTCCCCCCAGGAGGAGGGGGGGGGAAACTACGGTCGAGCTGCTCGAACTTCATGATATGGGTAATCGTGCGCTTCGTGCTTCCAGGCCAAAGGCTCGAGTCCACGACGCCCCTTGGCGTCGCGTTGATGCACCCCGAGTTGCCAGACCACGTACGCACAGAAAGGCATAATATATGTTTCAACGTTTGTTTCATGACCCTTTCTATAGTAACAGACCCACGTTGGAAACCAAGTCGAGCATCTGATTAAGAAACCTCCTCTCGAAAAGCTGGGCCAGCGTTTCTTGGCCAGCCTGCCGGAAAGCTGGCTCGGTTTCTGGAGCGCGTTTGCCCCTCGGGCGTTGACACAATGATTGGGCCAGGTTTGTCTTCAGAGATTTCCGGAAAGCTGGCCCAGGCTTCGTAAGTGATGATTTTCTTGGTCATACTGTCGGCTGTAGGAGGAGGGGGGCGATGACGATGGCGATGGTGAGGGTGATGGCGGTGAGGGTCACGACGAGTCTGGCGAGCACGATGCCGGTGGTGGTTGGGATGGCAGGGACGAGGATGGTGACGATGACAATGATGGTGTGGATGATGATGATGATGATTATGATGATGATGATGATGATGATGTTGACGATGATGATGATGATGATGATGGCTGGGATGTTGGAACTGACGGGGATGAGGACGATGATACCGATGATATGGTTGTTGATGATGGTGTTGATGATGGTGGGGTTGATGATGGCGATGACTTGTGGTTAATGATGATGATGGCGTTGGTGAGGACACATATGATGGTGATGTTGGTGATGATGATACTGATTACGATCATGATGATGAAAAGATGATGGTGCTGATGACGATGACGATGGCGAACATGATCATGATGGGGATGATGAGGAGAAGGATGAGTAAGAGGATAAGGAGGATGTGGACGGTGCTGCTGATGATCATGGTTATGTTGGTTGCGATGATGATGTTGGTGGTATTGATGATGATGAATGATTGCAGCATCAGCCAAAACGAAAACGATCGCGACGACGACGATGCCGACGACGACATCAACGTCGACGACGACGACTACGATGATGCAGATGATGACGATGATGATGATGATGACGATGAGCATAATGATGTTGATGGTTGATGTTGATTGTGATGGTGAGGATGATGAGGATGAGGATGATGATGATGATCAGGATGCTGATGATGACATTGATGGTGATGATGATGATGCTGATGATGCTGATGATGATGGTGCTGACAAGCATGATGATGCTGATGACGATTGCTTGGCGGGATGATGATAATGAGGGGGTGGTCGTGACGAAGTGGACGACTATGATGACGATATTAATGCAGCGGATGGGAAGTGAGCATCAGTGTGGTCTGGTGACGACGATGCCGACGATGACTGGGCCGGTGGCCACAATGACGACGATGGGATTGACGATGACGATGACGTTGATGATGACTATGATGATTATGATGCTGATGCTGCTGGTGATGATGATGATGTTGATGTTGATGCTGATGCTGATGATGATGATATTCACGACGACGATGATGATGCTGATGATGATGATGATGCTGATGATTAGTATGATGTGGTACGACTCTTAGTTTGTCACAATTGTGATGATGCTTGGTTTTAGCATTATTGCTACTCTGATTATCCGCCTGCTTATTATTAGCATGACGGCGGTGACCATGGCGACGTAGTGCTGATCTAGTGACGGTGTCCACTTTGTTCTTGATGAAAATGACGAGGGGGAGCAGGAGCAGGAGGAGCAGGAGGAGGAGGAGGAGGAGGAGGAGGAGGAGGGGAAGGGGGATGAGGAGGAGGTGAAGGAGGAGGAGGAGGAGGAGGAGGAGGAGGATGTGGAAGAGGTGTACAACATCTTGGACCCCTCCGCGGTCACCAGCGCCTACTCCGTGTCCGTCCTGGCTGGGAGCTTCGACGAGCCGACCAGGCGCGCGTGCGCAAACCCCGCCGCGAGTGGGTTGTGTTCGGTTGCCAGGGAGCCAGCGGGTGAGAGGAGTCGGCGGCGCACCCAGGGGGAGGGCACTCGAAGGGGCGTGCCTTCTCAGACGACTAAGAAGGCCTCTGGCTTCTTAGCCCCCCCAGAAGGCCTCTGGCTTCTGGCCGACGCCGTGCTTAGGGGGCCGCATTATGTTTGCACGGGCTGGGCTGCTACGATGGATTTTTCAGCTGGGCATAGTTGAAAACTGCTTTTGCGGTGGGAAAAAAAAGGCCTCTGGCTTCTAGGAAGCGTTCTGAGCCCTATCCGAAGCCACGGAGGGCATCTCAGAAGGAAGCAGTGCTTCTGAGAAGCCCCGCCGCTGCGTGAGCCGTCTGAGAAGGCCTGCCCCCTCTCGCTTCCACCCTCGGAGCGCCGACGAATGAGGGAGTCTGTGAGGGACGGGATGATCTCTCCTGCTGTTCAGCAGCTCATCCGTACACTTCCTCTGCGTCCCAGTTCTTCTCCTCGTCCTCCTCGCTGTCAATTCCGGCCTATTCTGAAAAGTGGGCGTACGGCGGTTCGACAAACCAAATCGTGCAATCTCTCCCCTCTCTTTGGTTTAAGGTGGAAGAGGAGGGGGATCTGAGGGATGCGGCGGAGGACGAGGAGGTGGAGGACGAGGATGGGGAGGAGCAGGAGGAGGAGGAGGAGGAGGAGGAGTAAGAGGAAGAGGAGGAGGAGGAGGAGGAGGAGCTTTTTTGAACTATGACGAGACGTCCTCGCCTGCTTGCGGGCCCACGATAAAATGATATCATACAGTGTTGTTTCTTTTGCCAAATATGTGTCCATGGCATTCCTGGTTGAGACGTGGATCCGTATTCTCTGAGACAAGGAGTTGCCGTTCTGAGAGTACTGTTTCGAGGACATGGCCGCTCATCGGATTTGGTTGCAGGCGATTGCTTCACAGAGCTGGTTGGCAGGAAGCCTGAAGGACACAGGAGCAGCGTCTCCCGCTCACCCTCTGGCCCTGCTGGAGCATATCCCCGGCAATAGATCTGGGATACTGGCCTGGGCCGCTACGGTCGGCTCGTCGTGGGTGCGTGGGGGAAGAGCCGCCTCTGGCGGCTCGTTGTCGATACGTGCGCTGGTCAGGGCAGCTTTCCTGGTCCTCTCCCGCACGCGCGATTCAAGGCGTGTGGCCTCAGCGTACACCCCCCCGGAATACAGGTACCCCCCCCGGACTACAGGTCCCCCCCCCAGACTACAGGTACCCCTGCCCGGACTACAGGTACCCCCCCAGACTACAGATACCCCCGTTAGGCGCTACAAATCCTCTCCGAAGCTACAGGACCCCGTCAATTCGTCGTGGGCTTGCTTGGTTGTGACCGAAGCTGACAGCGCAATCAAGCAAGATCTGGCAAATTATCGCCCTTCCTCATACTTGCGCATACCCTCCCTACTTGCAGCAGCGTGTGTGTTCGCGCGTGTCAGCGCGCGTGCGCGTGCGCGTGACGCGTGCAACGATGCGCGTGCAGTCCCGCGCGCGCAGACACCCGCGCGCCGAAACCCGTGCGCATGGAGCCACGTGTGCTTCGACGGATAACATGCGCGCCCCCCTGGACTACAGGTACCCCCGCGCGGCCCCACCCCCGGACTACAGGTACCCCCCCCCCCCGG